GAGCTCTTAACCAACTGAGCCACTCAGCCGGCCCTTGAAAAACATCAATTTTTAATCATGCTAGCAATTTGGTACATATCTTTCCAGACCTTTTTCTATGCATTTACAATACTCAGTCTCTCTCCCTCTCTGCAGACATACACACATGTACAGACATGAGTGAGTTTTTATATAATGAGATTATATCATACATACATCTCTACAGTTTGCTTTTTCACTTAACAATATAGCATACACGTTTTTCCATTTCAGTTCACATGGATCTGCCTCATTCTTTTAGATTTAAAATTTTTGTTTCTCCAAAATGCCAAGTTTCTTCTAGAAAGGTTGTGTGGAATTTTCCCCCCATCAACAGTGCTGCTTTCCCCCAGGCTCGCCAATACTGCAAATTTTCATGCTTTTAAAATTTTGCCAAATTGAAAGGTAAAAAATGATCTATTTCTGGGTTTTAAAATTTTGCATTTTTTCAATAGCTTTAAGGCTGAACATATTTTCAAATTTTTATCGGCCATTTAGCAATCTTTTTAAAATTTCATGTTCTTTAACCAACTTGTTAATCTTGTAATAATAATTTAATATTAATATTATTTAATATTTTAATATTGTAATAATATGATTTGTGTAAGCTCTTTAATATAGCTATTTACCCTTTGTTTTATAAATTGTAAATATTTTCCAATTTGTCATGTATCTTCTAACCTTGTTCATATTATCTTGACACACACAAGCTTAAAGTTTTTTTTAGATCAGATCTATTAGTCTTTCTAGCTTTAATGCCATACTTCAATTTATTTTCTTAGAACAAATAAGATAAAATTTTTTGTTTTTTTTTTTGTTGTTGTTGAGTTAAGCTTTGCTCATTGAAAAGATCTTAGAATCTAAAGGGAAAAAATCAATAATAATCTTTTTATCCAGAGATAACTATCGGTAGCCAAAATTTTGGTGTATGACTTTCTTAAAAATGCTCAGACACATGAGATGTTAGAGATTTTTTGAGGTCATCTAATAAGAAATAAGGATCAAATTTTCAGTTGCAGTGGGATTAGTAATGTCTCTAAGCATGTAAACTCGCTGAGCTTCTCCCTGACCCTGGGCATACACTAGGTTGGGAACAGTTAGTGGTAGGAGGCTAAGCTAAAGATTTGCTGACCTTGATCTTGGTAGCCAGGGCAATGCTGGGCACATGGACGGCCTCAATAAATGGTGACCCATGCAGTCAGTTAATTTAACCACTTGCTCCATATTTTACATATAAAATTTTGTACCGTTTTGTGTATTTGAATTCAGATATGTAGCTCTGGTTTATTGTTTTTTTTCAACTTCTTTTTGCAGAAGTAGACAATGTGGCACAATGTCATATTCAGCTTGCACAAACTCTAAGAGAAGAGGCCAGGAAGATAGAAGAATTCAGGGAAAAGCAAAAGCTACAACGGAAAAAGGTTGGGTTTGCCTGTAAAGATGTTGCCTGTCTTCTGGCAGAGAACCTCAGGCTTGTGTTTCTATTAAACTCCTTGGCTCGGCCTCTGCCCTCATGCAGCCATGCTCTTCTTTTAACCTACGAGATTATGTATCAGGCAGCGACGTGGGGACTCAGTCTAGACCATTATGCCTCTGTGCTCACTTACACCCCAGGCAAGTTGTATTTTAATTCAGGCAGGATTCAGGGGCCCAGCCTGCTTTCCTCTTCTTTTCATATCTGTGCCACTATTGCAATTGACTGAAAGGGAACCCCTCTTTCTTCAACGGAGTCTAGCACATCCAAGCTGGTGGGCTCCCAGACCACACTCTCCTTCCTGGACAAGGCAGTAAGAGAAGTGTAAGAAGTGGAGGAGACTCACGTTCTCCTTCGGGACCATAATGTAGTCCAACCTCCCTATTTTACAAGTAGGGAAACTGAGGCCCTGAGAAAACCAAGTTGTTTCCGTCTTCAAAGCAGATGTGCATAGGCTCTTTTTCACTGATGGGATTTACTCTGACCAACCATGTGGAAGGAGAAGGGAGTGAGCAAGTGAATAAAACTGGCAAACATTTGGGAAGTTATAAGGGTCAATGGTTTTACTTTGACTAGACCAACCACTAGTCTGACTCCCTTCTATATTTTGTTCCTAAAAGACTTGTATATTCAGGGTGGCCTTGAATATTCAGGACCATTCCAGAATTTTTGTTTTATATTTGGTGTCCAAGGTTGGAACCCAGTTTCACATGGGGGACAAACTCTTCCCTATCTGGCATCCAAGGATTTCCACTCGGGTCTCCACAGATAGCGCTGCATGGACTTTTTGGAAACCTTTCTTCATCCTGACCTTTTACTGTCCCAAGGTCATTGTTTTTAGGGTGTGTCCAATAAACAGCCAGCCGTTAAGGTTGATGCTACTCATACTTTAACCTAGCCTTGGTCTTGGCAGCCAGGCCAATGCTCAGCACTGGGACAGTCTCAATAAATGTTGGTGACCAAGTGCAACTTTGCCTGTGGTTCTAAGTCAGTCTATTCCAGCTCTTGGTGGCCACTTGACATTTGGAGTGAGTGGCAGCATCTTAAGAGCCTACCTGCCTGACCTCTATTGTCATTTCATGAAAAGCTTTTATAGCTGTGCCTCTTACTAGGAAGGTAGAGTGGAAACTAAATACCTAAGGAATACCATGTCAAGTGCTTTCACATAAATTCAAGCTTCATGTACCAGGTCTGAGGGGTCCATCTGGCCCAAAGTATTTTTCAGAGCAGAAATAATATGTATATTACACCCAAACACTGAACGGTCAAACTATCTTTGGCTGACAGTGCCAGCCCTGCCCAACTCTCTAGAGTAATCACAATCTTTGAAACAAAATGACTTAGATAACCAGGATCTATGCACACATGATTTCCACTAAGAAGAGAGGAAGGTCATTTCCTCACATTTTCAAGTGACCTGGGTAGCCCTAGTCATTTCAGAGAGAGTTTTGTTAATTTTGCAAGGCTGCACAAACTTCCCCTCCCAAGTTACAAAGAGCAAATTTTCATAGGTAGAAGAACATGTCCTGAGTTCTGTTAGGCAATAGAGCAGCCTGGGCTCAACCAACCACTGTCATCCTCTACACCCTACATAGCATGCTCTCAACAGCAGGAAAATGCCTTCTCAGCTATTGCAAAGAAATCCAAAGTTTATTAGTTCCTTTGTAATTACTTGTGTTACAGAGTAAACTCTGGGTTGTACCACTTCCGTATGTACATACTTTAAAAAAAAAATTCAAACTTTGGGGGAAAATGTGTCATTGTTAACTTCTCATTTTCACTGGTTAAACCCTGCACACGCCTCTGTCTTTCACTTCTTGGAAATTAAGCCATTTCCACTTATCAAGGAAAACCATCAGTTGGCTTCTTTTAGTAAACTGGGGCGGGGAGATGCGAGAAGAAGGGCTGGTCAGACAGAAATTTATGGTATACTCACTTATGCAACTAATGTTGCCTGAGGGTGGTGAACAATATGGACATAGTCATCCCTCCCTCACTGAGTATAGAGCATAGCAAGAGAGATTGATATGACATGGCAATCATGACAAAGTGTGATGAGCCTTAAATGGTAGGGGAGGTTAAGGTGCCGCCTGAACATACAGTGGGGACAGCTAACCTAATCTATGGGGCTGGGGAGGCCTCCTGGAGGAAGTGACCTTGAAGCTAAAGTGAAAGGCAGTGGAGGTGAGGGCTGTGAGAGAAGAGGCTGTCACCCCTGGGGGTTGGCAGGTAGGGAGGGGTCTCTGGAGCCATTCCCAGGAGGCTTGATATCTTCCTTTCCCAGCCGAGAATGGCCTAAGTCTGACGGAGACTGCACATAGTCAGTCACTCTCTCCTCTGATGCCCATATGGTTCCATCATTTCAGCTCAGGTTGGGATGATCAGGGCAGGATTTTGTCCTGCCTGGGTAGAGAGGCACCTGCTTTGTTACAGAATGATGCTTCTAGTTTTCAGAATAAAGTTTGAGTGGCTAGACAGACCACTAAGCAGCGATTTCAGTAATTTACTGCAGGGTCATTTTGGTCATTTATAAATTTCTTCTTCCTTTTCCCTTTCCTCTTCTCCCCACCCTATAGCAGAGATGATTGTGTTTTGCACTACTTTAAGTTGTCAATAACAAAACAATCAAATTTTCATTGGATTTGGTCCAATGAAAGTCTGAGTCCTAAAAGAAGTACTTCCCCAAGGAGACCTGAAAGAGAACATTTGACTTACTGGGACCACCATGAGTAGGGTACCCTGTAAGTGAACATGGACGTGAGGAGACTTAAATCAAGGAGCACTAGCAGACAGAGCAGGACTTGGTGTCACTGAGTGACCTCGAGCAAAAACTATCACCATCACCTCTTGGGACCCAGGGGTCATGCCTGTCAGGTTTGAGAGTAGGACTACTGCTCTCTAGGATTCTGCCATCCTATAGATGCCAGGGACCCTACAGATGCCAGAGAGGGGAATGATATGAAGTTAAAAGGTTTGGCTCATAGTAGAACTGTGTAGCCATAGAAGGGAGAGAGAGGTGTTTGAAGCAAGTGCTATGTAGAACTCAGGGATAAGGAGGCCTGGCTTGGGCCATAAACTATAAAATAGTTGCAGTTCCCAAACTGGCAGAATGGCAGTGTGTCTATTTGGACTGGAAAGGACCATGGAATAGACCACCATTGCTAACTGATCTGCTACATGGAGTCTGGGAAAATCAAGAAAATCAAGAACCATTATTAAATAAATAAACCTAGCTCCTCCTCCTGGCAGAGGCACACAGGGGCTCATGTGAACCACACAGCTCCCTGTCTGTGATCCCCTTCCATGTGGAGATCTTGTTGGAACCCTGTCTGTTTTCTATGTCTATGGTGTCTCCACCATTAGCAGGTACATGGCTACTTCCTGGTCCCTCACTTTCAGTTGGGCTGGAAGATGACTCCTCAGTTCTCTGAGGGCCCCTTGGGCTCCCCAAGAGAATTTCACATTCCACAAAGCTCATATTCAAAGTGAGACCATTCCAAATATCCTATATTGAAAATCTATATTTGTATGTTATGGTAATAGACAGAAACTTAATTTTCCAAAAGAGAAACCACATTTGAATTTCATCTTCAATATTATTATTTTGCATTATATCATTTTGCACAAGAGCAATGTAATGTCCTAGCTCATTTTGAATTATTGCATCTCTTGGCCTTTTATGTACCCATTTGCCTTTATAGAACTACAATAAAGATTATTGTAGTTTGGAATAATGATTAAGAACAAGGGCATAAATCGGGTTCCTGGACTCAAATCCCAACTCTACTAATTGCTGAGAGTTACCTTTGGTAAATTAATCCACCTCGGTTTACTGTCAAGAAAACAGGGATAAGAATATCCAGTTGTTGTGATGGATGAAAACTGCTTAGTATATAGTGATGCTTGATAAATGGGAACTAGGATTTTTATGTCTGAGAGGTACATTTTTATTATTAACTCTATTACTTTGACTAATAAATATATTAATGTCACAGCCACAGCAAAGAAATTGCTCCCAAATGAACTCAACAGAGTAGCTTACATTTCCTGGATTAGATGGAGTAAAAAGTAGGAAAACAGCTTCTTTTAGCTTTCCTAGAACATTTATTCTCTTCTTACTGCCCAGGCTACTTGCTGGTTAGGGGTGTATCATTGATGGATGCCATAGGAGTGAATATTTATAAGTCCCTAATTTAACTGTGTTGACATAAGCTTACAGAATAAAGACCTCCTTTAAAATATAAATGACACTTTAACAAAAGTTTAAAAATCCCTTTTTAAACCAAAGTTCATCAGTAACAGATTTGCTGAAGAGACTGATCTAAGATGATCAATGATTCTCAGTAGTGGCTGCCCAAGTTCAAAGGTGAACCCCACCATTAACCAGCCATAAAACCTTGAGCAAATTGTTCAGCTTCTCTTTGCTGCAGTTTCCTCGTTTGTAAAAAGGGAATAATAAATAGTACATCTGCCTTCTGGGTTGTGTGAGAACTAAATGAGGTAATTCATCTTGAACACTTAGCCCTCGAGATAAGCTGATATTCACAATAACTTGTTTTTGTTATTAATAGTGCCTGTGCTCTCTTCACAGACAGAGCTTATCATGGATGCTGTCCATAAACAAAAGATTTTACAATTCAAGAAAACCATGGATGTGAGTTTCACTTTATTGCCTTTTTCTGAAATCCGGTGCTATATGAGCATATTCCTACTTAAATAACATTTCAATAATGTTATTTATTAGTGCAGTAATTTTTTTAGTGGTTTGGCTTTCCTTCTTTTTTTTTTTTTTAGGATTTTATTGGGAAATCAAGGAAGGGGAGCAGACAAGTTGCTGTTCTTTTATTCTTCCGTCTAGTTGTGGAGGACGTTGCCTCACACTGGCTCATGTTGGTATTATCATTGCGCTCTTCCTGGGTAAGGCAGTCGCTCGCCGGCCATTGGACAGCCGCTTACGGCGGCTCACGGCTGCTCATGCTGGCTGCTGGCCACTCACGGTAGCTCACGGCAGCCTACTGCCGCCCCACTGCAGCCTACAACGTCGCCGGCGACTCATGGCAGCCCAGCGCCAGGTTGAGCTGTTGTTCACCATCTTAGCTGTAGAGGGCGCAGCGTCACTGGCTTTCATGTGTGATCCAAATGGGGCCCTGCTGCTCAGAGCTGGCGTCCCAAGCCAACTCTTAACCAACGTGCCACTGGGCCGGCCCTCCTTCTTTTTAAGGCCTTGGAAATGTTGAGGATGAAACTAGATAGTGGAAACACAATGATGTTATCTTTCTGGTAACCTGGGAAAGTATAGCAAGTCAATTTAAATATTTCAGGCCAAGACACAAAATTATATATACCATATGATGCCATTTATCTTGTTGGATTTGAGCTTTCCTCCCTTGAGTATTCTGAATCTTGATTTCTTAACATTTTATTGAGTGACCCCTTCCTGTTTCAAGGTATCTGCTAATTGTAAAAACCTTCTTTCTTTTAAGTAATTTATAAAAAAAATTCTTAATAGGACAGAGCTAAGGCAGTTTGCTAGGGATCTCACTCTACCTTTTCACGAATCTGTTAACTCTGGATGCAATGAACTCTGTTATTGGAACATCTGTGACTCCATCTTTGTACAGAAGTATCATCATGATATTCTATGATTATGACATGATATTTGGTAACCTGGTCAAAAAAGAAAATGTCACCAATGTTGATGGCAATTCAGTCTGTTCTGTGTCATTTTTCTTGTTCTTTGATACAGATCACCTCAACAGTAATTGATAAATAGGGAATGCTGTCAGTGTAATGCAGAAATAGTGTTGGTTGATATATGATTGTCCCCAGACTTCTTTTTTCCAATATGGATAATTACTCTACTTTTTTTTAAATTTATTTTTATTAGTTTCACTTCACTTTCTAGACCTTGTATGTTTTGAACAACCTGGGGCAAGTTTTCTCTCAATTAAAGAGAAAGCCTTATTGAAATATAATTTTCTTAACTATTACTCTCCCTCATTTAGAGCTATGTAAACATAATTTTGCTTCAACTATCAAAAATAATTTAGAAAACTCAAGAGGAGAAAGACTATTGTATTTACCCATTTTTTTGCTTACTGTGTTCTTTTTTCCTTCTGATGTTCCAAGGTTTTTTTCTTTTATAATTTTCATTTGTTTAGATAACTTCCTTTAGCTATTCTGCAGAATAGGTCTGCTAGTGACAAATACTCATAGTTTTCCTTCATCTAAGAATGTCTTGATTTCCCCTTCATTCTTAAAGGATATTTTTACTGGATATAGGATTGTGTGTTGACAGTTCTTTCAGTACTTGAAAAATGTTGTGCCACTTCCTCATGATCTCCATAGTTTCTGATAAGAAATATGCCATCATTCAAATTGGTGTTTCCTTTTGTTTTTAGTTTTCAGAAGTTCACCACCTGTGGGTCTTGTAATGGATCTGTTTGGGTTTATCATGTTTGGAGTTTGAATCAGCTTCTTTAATCTATCTTTTGCCAAATTTGGAAAGAAATTTTGGAACTTATTTCTATGAGTACTTTTTCTGCCCACCCTCCTCTCCTAGGATTCTAAGGATATGAGTGTTAGATCTTTTTTTATGGTGTCAATGGTTCTTGTGGCTCTGTTCATTGTTTTACCCACCTGTTTTCTCTTTGTTGTTCAGATTAGGTAACTTATATTGTTCTATCTTCCAGCTCTTTCCACCAATTCTTTCTTCTGTCTCTTCCATTCTCTTCTTAAGCCCATCCATTGAGTGTTTTATTTCAGTTATTATGTTTTTCAGTTCTAAAATTTCCATTTGGCTCTTCTTTATATATTTTATTTCTTTTCTGACCTTTTCTATTTATTTGACAAGACACTATTTTTTCAAGTGTGTTTATAATTGCTCATTGAATTTTTTATGATGGCTGCTTTAAAATCTGTCAAATATTTCTAACATATCTTTCATCTTGATGGTCTTTTTTATGCACTTTGAGATCTTCCTGGTTCTTGGTATGATAAGTGATATTCAATTGTTTTTAGTCTTTTAGGTATTATGATAGAAGACTCTGGATCTTATTTAAACCCTCTTATTTAAACCTTTTAGCTGACTTCCTTTGACACCACTCCAGTAGGGGGAGGTGAGGCCCTGCCTCATTACTGCTATGTGAGGGGAAAAGTCCAGGTTCCACCCTTCCACCCTTGGCCTCTGCTGACATCACAGCATATGTGTGGCTTTGTTACTACTGGGAGGTGGTTATTGTTCTAGGCCTCCTCTGACGCCACTCCAGCAGGGAGGGGTGTGTGTCTCATTATCGCCAGGTGGGGTGGAAGTCCAGGATTCCCACATGGTTTCTACTGGTACCGTGTGTGGGGCTTTGTTACTTCCTGGTGAAAATGGAAGTCCCAGTTTCCTCTTTGTCCTTCTCTGATATCAGCTGGGCGTGAGAGCTGGGTACCTCCTTACAGCTTGGTGAGGGTGGAGGTCTAGGCTTCCCAGTTGGCCTTTGCTGGATGTGTGGGGGTGGGGCCCATTTTTTATGTGGTGTTTAGCTGCAGTAGAATGTTTATTTTCTAAAGGTTTCCATCTTGGTAGGCTGCCCCTTTCTGGTGTCTTGGGCAGAAAGAGCAAGTTTTTGTTGGGCCATTTTTTGTTTTCTTTTGTTTTGTTTTTGTCTGTGCCCATTAGCCTTTCTTGGTTGCCTGCTTCTTTGGCACTCAGTCTGTGTGTGATATGTGTGGCAAAAAGAAAACCCAAGGAGCTAACTTCTAGGTCACTTTTCTGAGACCACAGTCACTTGCCAGTCTGCCTTCTTCTCTCCATCTTTTAGTATTCTTATGTTTGTTTTATACATAATATCCAGGGTTTTCAGTTATACTTGTGTGGAGGAATAGGTAAAAGTGCATTTGCTCCCTCTTCCCAGAAGCCCACATAACCTTTTAAAAAAGTATTTTGCCATGTTTTTAGAGCCATAATTATGATTATATCTCATTAATCTTATGCTACAAATCTAAGACTCTACCTTTAGGAAATCATCCAAAATAAGATAAATAAAGGCATGAACTTGTTCACTATTTATAATGAAATATAAATGATTTAGTAACCAAATAATGGAGAAAGACTAAATTTTTTAACCTTTAAAATATGATTATGAGGAGTATGTGGCAACAGAAGAAAAAAATGCCTAATATGTCATATTAACAAATAATGCAGGATAGTGAAAGCTTGATCACTGACAACATTAACACTTAAGACTTCTTTAGAGCAAAAGAAAAACATCATCTTATACATGGTTTCAAGACGTATGACAAAGGGGAAAAATATTTGTAACTTATATAACTTACAGCCAGTTAATGTTCCTAATATAAAATGAACTCTTAAAAACTAATTAAAGGGCCAGCCGAGTGGCTCAGTTGGTTAAGAGCTGGCTTAAGAGCGCGAGCTTTGAGCAACAGGGTCGCCGGTTCAATTCCCACATGGGCCAGTGACACTGCACCCGAGTTGTGCTGCCGCTGAGCTGCCAACAGGTGACAGGATGGCTTAGCTGGTGTAACAACAAGATTGCCTGTTTGATGGTGGGCTACGCCCACCCGCAACTAAGACTGAACTCAGCACTGTGAGCTGAGCTGCCGCCTGGATGGCTCAGTGGATAGAGTGTGCACGCTTAACAACAAGGCTGCTGATTCGACTCCCACATGGGATGGTGGCTATGCCCACCCACAACTAAGATTGAACACAGCATCTTGAGCTTAGAGGCCATGAGCTGCCGACGGGCAGCTAGATGGCGACTGGCACCCTCCACAACAAAGATTGAAGAACAACAACTTGGCTGGTTCCCTTCCCCAATTCCCCAACATTGTTCCCCTCCCCCAATTCCCCAATAAAACCTTAAAAAAAACTAATTAAAATAGAAAATGCTCTAACAGAAAAGTAAAAGATATGACAAATTGTAGCAACAACATACCTTACTAGTAATGAAATAAATACAAATAAAACAACAGAATTCTAACACTCTCACCTCTAGTGTTAGAAAAGGTTAAAGATATTGCCTAAATTTGGTTTTGGTGAGAGTGTGAGGAAACAGATACTTTTGTAAGGGGTATAAATTGGTGCAGCTATTTTGGAGGGAAGTCTGATGTGTACATATTGTTTTACCAAATCGTTACACTTCTAGAAATTTAACACATATAGATAAATTCATGCACCCCAAGATAAAATCAGAGTATTTTTGTTATTAAAAAAATGGGAACCAAGATAAATGTCTGCCATAGAGTTGGTTAAGAAAATTATGGTGTGTGTGTGTGTGTGTGTGTGTGTGTGTGTATTTACAACCCTTAAAAGTGTTCAGCTACAGAGAGCATGTTTGATACGGAGAAATGTCTGTAACATATTGTTGCAAAAGAAAAGAATTGTGGCATGACTATCTTATGTGCTTGGAATAATGAAAATTACGAAGTTTTATTTCTATGTGTGTGTAGCATAGAGTGAGAAATTGTAAGATTATTTACTGAAAGGTTAACCCCATCTGAACTACAGAGGATGCTGAGAAATGTAGGGAAGCATATGAAATATTGAACAAGCACAAGCCATTTCTGCAAGAGAGTCTTCATTCTTTGTGAAGCAATTTTTTTGTCACCATTTTTACTTATTAGCTAATTGATTCATAGCTTTGCTTCATTTAAACAAATTAAATCTTTGCTTCAATAGTTGAAACAGAAAATTGTTTGATTCACTACCTATAGTGTATGAATTGTTTCCATACTACTGGTAGTCACAGTAGCACAGGATAGACTATCACCTACTTTTAAACTAGCTAAAACAGGATATTTTAAATCCAAAAGGAACATAACCATCTTTAAGCAACAGAAATGATGGTGTTGATACCACGGCCCATATGCTCTGTGAGGCATATTAGAATACTGAAGCATAATTATAATTACCATGACCAAGTGATTGCATCTAAGTTCTGAGGGTTATGAATGTTGTATAAATGTTGGATTACATATTTTATAGTTACATAAGCATTTTGATTTTGCCCATCTGGAATTCCATCTTTTGTTCTAGTCAATTTTGAAAGCTCATGTACTTTGTTTACCAAATAGGAGTTATCATTCCCTTGATCAGGTTGCCACTACATACATAACTTGGCAAAGGGCTAGAGAGATAGATAAAGATAGATAAGAAAGGGCATCTGCCCTCTGAGTGGTCATATTACAGTGGTGATCACAGCCCTCTTCAGGGTGCCCTGTTTTTCAGGGTTATGTTCTACTCACCTATTTTGGTCCTTTTTTGGCTCATAACAACCAAGGCAAAGAAGAACTATGAACAGAAATGCCGAGACAAAGATGACGCAGAGCAGGCTGTCCACCGAAGTGCCAACGTGGTAAACTCAAAGCAGCAAGAAAAGGTACTTGGGAGGGCTGACGGCCTGAAAAAGCTGAGATTTGCTACATTGAGCTAAAGCCAATTAATAATCTTAATTAAGAATGGATCTGCACCCTAAACTCCTGGCAATATCTTCCTGCAGGCTATTAGGATCCTCTGAACCAGAGAAACCCTTGTCACATTTTTGGGGTTTTGGAAAAGCTAGAGAAAGGAGACCATAGAGGAGGGAGTGGGGTGGTAAGAAGTGGGGGAGGGAGTTCTGATTTTGTTTTCCCCCTTCAAAACTCAACTTATGTATTCTTTGTAGCCAGGTTGCCTCCTGCTTGGGAATAAATTTAATTTTACAAAATCTGGATATCAGATTGCCAGCAGCCAGAGGGCAGGGGGATGCCTTTAGGAAGACACAGGGCAAGCTGCTTGGTAGATACTTTCCTATGGCAATAAGATTAGAGGCCAAGTTGAAAGATTTGCTCATGAGTGAAACACAGGGAAAGCTTGGACTAGCACTGGTCTCTTCATAGTAATTGCTTTCAGGTCAGTTCTGCCTATACCGTCCTGGCCCAGCGTTCCTGAGCGCTTACTCTTTTTTTGTCCCCACAGCTTTTTGTGAAACTGGCAACTTCAAAAACAGCAGCAGAGGACTCGGGTGAGTGGGCTGCTCCCAGGGATGGGGGAGGATTGTGGTGGGGTTTACATTATCCTAAATCTGTCTGAGAAAGGTAGTTTTATATACCTTACAGTAAAGAATACATCGGTATACAGTAGGATTTACAAGATATCAGAAGGGAGAATCAGGGAGAAAGGGAGGGAAGAAGGAAAGCAGGGAAGAAGCAAAGGAGGCAGCCGGTTCTGGTCACTGCCTGCTGAATCTGGCTGCCTTACATGTAATTGCATGGTGGTGGGGTGGTGGTGGTGGGCCATGTGACAGCTGCTTTGTAATCAGGTTGATAGACGCGCTCACTCTGATTTATTGGAACATCTGTCATAAAAGCCTGTTTCAGCCCTGATAACTGTTGTCTGCTGTGAAAGAAACAGCCAAGTTGTGAGGCCTTGTCATCATCAAAATATAAGATCCAAACCAGGTGTTTGCAAAGGTTTCTAATCCACAGAGTCCCCTCCAGAGAATAGGCCTCTCACGACTGTGGTTACTTAAGAAAACCCTAACCCCCAAACTAAAGTAACTTGGTGCCTCTTTAGGGCTCAAGGTAGTTCTCTTCTCTGCGTCCCTCGTTGGGTAATGTTCCTGAAAATGGAAAGGGGTGGAAGCTTCTGAGGCCGAATTAAACAAAAAAAAGTCTGGTTGAGGTTGCTCGTATGCTTTCACTTCTCCTTTCTTGGATGATTTCTTGTTAATTGCTTGGTTCAGTGCTTATTTCACAGAGGCCTTATAAGGGGGAGAGATGTAATTATGGCCTTCCAGTGTTCAGAGCTCCGTGGAGCCTTGTGAGCTCTCCACCATCCAAGATGAGTCTGAAGGGTGGGTCTGCGAGCCACCCTCCTGCCTGGTTTCTGAACCCAGGGCCCTCATCTCCATTGCAGACAAGGCGTACATGCTGCAAATCAACACCCTGGATAAGGTTCGGGAAGAGTGGCAGAGCGAGCACATGAAGGCCTGTGAGGTAACCGGAACCAGAAGCTGCTCAGGAGGGGGTGGGCCTTCTTCCTGGAAGTTGCAGAGTCTACTTTTGTAGAAAGGCTTTGGCCCCTCCTCCCCCCTTTATTATTCCCCTCAATTCTGACAGAATTGCTTGAGGGCAGATTAGAAATCAGGTATTTAGGGCCAGCTGAGTGGTGCATTGGTTAGGAGTTGGCTTGAGATGCCAGCTCCAAGCAGCAGGGCCCTGGTTCGGATCCCACATGAGGGCCAGTGACGTTGCGCCCTCTACAGCTAAGATGGTGAACAACAGCTCCACCTGGAGCTGGGCTGCCGTGAGTCGCCAGCGACAGCATAGGCTGCAGTGGGGCTGGCCGGCAGCAGGCGTGAGCTGCCGTGAGCTGCCGTCCAATGGCCGGCGAGCGACTACTTCACCCGGGAAGAGCGCAATGATAATACCAACATGGGCCAGTGAAGCAATGTCCTCCACAACTAGACTGAAGAACAAAAGGATAGCAACTTGTCTGTTCCCCTCCCCCAATTCCCCAATAAAATCTTGAAAAATAAAAAAGAAAGAAATCAGGAATTTAAATGTAGGATGGGAGGAACTTGAATGTTTCCCCCCAAACCTCGTCTTCTGCCCCCTCCCCACTCTGACCATGCTTTTCTATTCTTTTCAAGGCCTTTCTCTAATGTTTGGTTAGCAAGCATGAAACAGATGAATCAAGTAATGGTTAATTCAGTAATTACCTTTCGAGAACATCACATGTACTTAGTATTTGATAAGGAAAATGTAGACAGCAGGTGAGCAGGCTCTAGAATATTTACCTTACTCACACCTTTGATTTCGCCATTGCCTCCATTCATTTTCATCACATGATCTCACTTATATTTTTCCAGAGGAAATAAGACATGACCTGGAAATTTCCTAAAGTTTCGGTCATCCTGTCTATACGTTTTCTTACCACTGGTTCTCAAAGTGAGGTTCCAGGACCTGTGTAGCGTCAGCATTGCCTGGGAACTCCTGAGAGATTCATATTCTCAGACCAACTCCAGACCTACTGAATCAGAAACTCTAGGAGTGGGCCCAGAAACCTCTGTGTTAATAAGCCCTCCAGGTGATTCTGATGCAAAAACATGCATAAGAACCCTTGATCTATGCAAACCCACTCCTCACCTTTTCTCCTTTTATAGCAGAAAACGAGCTGTTCCCACCCTATCGAGATCTCCCACCACCTGGGCTCAGGATCACATCCAGCTGGCTTCCCGCCACCCCTGCACCCCCTCACCTGTGCACAGTTCCCTTTAATGTGAACTTCTATTATTTACACAAACTCAACTCATTCTTGGCTTTAAAATCTATCCACAGCAAGCTGTTGCTTCCCATCTGCTACCCTCTCCTCTCTTCATGGCCAGGCTTCTTTTTTTTAAAGATTTTATTGGGGAATCAGGGAAGGGGAACAGACAAGTTGCTGTCCATTTGTTCTTCAGTCTAGTTGTGGAGGACGTCACTTCACTGGCCCATGTTGGTATTATCATTGTGCTCTTCCTGGGTGAGGCAGTCACTCGCCGGCCATTGGACGGCCGCTCACAGCGGCTCATGGCAGCTCACGAAAGCTCCCGCCTGCTGCCGGCCAGCCCCACTGCAGCCTACGCCATCACCGACGACTCACGGCAGCCCAGCTCCGGGTTGAGCTGTTGTTCACCATCTTAGCTGTAGAGGGCGCAGCGTCACTGGCCCTCATGTGGGATCCGAACCGGTGCCCTGCTGCTCAGCGCTGGCATCCCAAGCCAACTCCTAACCAACATGACACTCGGCCAGCCCGTGGCCAGGCTTCTTGAAGGAACTGTCTCCACATCCTCATTGCTCCTGCCTGTCTCAGCCTGGCATGTCTGGGGTTTGCTCCCCCTGGTCTCTGTGGGGACCCAGGGATCCCATTGGTGTGAGGTCTATCAGGCCTTTGCAGTTTCTAATCTTATTTGACCTATCTTTACCATCTGATACTGTGGGTCATTATCCTCGTTCTACATAAAACACTGTAGAATATGAACGAATATGAACGAATATGAATATGAACGAATAAACTTCTTTCGGAATGCATTGTGGTTACACGTGAATCTGCTTTACTTCTTTATGCACTCATGAAAAAGGCTGGAATAAGGCCATTTTTATAAGGTTTAAGAACATGCAAAGCAACATGGTAGACATCGAATGGAATGTACATATTATAAAAACCTGCATGAGAATTATAAAACTTAGGATAATGGTTATCTATGGGAAGAAGGAAGGTGATGGAGATTGGGCAAAGCACACGGGGCTTCAACAGAATCTGAAGCAAATATGGCCAACATTTTTGACGAAGCTAGATTTTTGGGACATGGAATTAATTGCTCTTATGATTCTGTCTATGTGAAATATTCTCTAATAAAAATAATGTAAATATTAGTATTTATATACTATAAATAAATAGTATATAAATACTAAAATATAATTCTATACAAATACCAAAATATTTACAGGTGAAATAATGTATTTGTTTTAAAATACTCCAGGAAGTAGGTGAGTTGGTAGGGATGTAGGTGAAACAGATTCGGTTGTGAGTTGATAAATATTTACACTGTTGAGAGGTACATTATACTCTTCTGTCTACTCTTGTATATGTTTGAAGTTTTCCATTATAAAAAGTTTTAAGATGTAATAGTGTTGTATTCACTATGTAAAAAATGCATTAATATATAACACTCACTGTTGACTAGAATAGCATCTACTTTATAGAACAGCTTGATTTTCCAAAAGTTGATATTTGTTTATATTTCAAAAACTATTATTCAGGCAGTGACTTAAAAAGAAAACTTTTTTATTAAGGAAAATTTCAAACATACACAAAGATAAAAGACAAGTGCAAGGACGCTCATGTACCCTTCAACTAACATCAACAAACATGACCATCTTGCCAATTGAATTCATTCAGTGGTGTATGTATATGGGACAAATTTTGAATCTGAGGCTCTGGAAGGCTGCCCAGGTGGAGATGCACCTTAAGCAGTTGGAAACAAGAGCTGGAATTCAGGTTACACCTATTACATGGATGTCTGGGTTCATCATAGCCTCTTACCTTCAGAATTATAATCAATCTGGTTTGTGTTAATACCATATTAGAATCCATTTGTATTATTTGCCTGCTATGAGAGTTTATAGTTTTTTCGGTGGTGGGGGTAGTATTCTAAATGGAACAATAAGCTTATCGATGATTGAAGGCTGACACTGTTTCTTAAGTCATAGCCAGTCTAGACAAATGGCCGTTTTCTCTGCATATGTATGTACATGTAGTTATGTTTCTGTAGGTGTTTGAGGCTCAAGAATATGAACGAATAAACTTCTTTCGGAACGCATTGTGGTTACACGTGAATCAGCTGTCGAAACAATGTGTCACAAGCGATGACGTAAGTCAGAGGTATCCATGCAGGATTCATTAGGGTGGAAGGAAGTGTAGACATTTATTAGTTCAGCCCCCTCATGTAAGGCCCAGAGAGGTACAGTGACTTGCTCAGGGCCACACCGTGAGTTGATAGAAGGATTCAGATAAACATCTAACCTGCCTGACTCTTGGTCCACTTTGTTGGCATGACTTCCCCTTAAAGAAATTCAGAGTTAGGGCAGGAGACCAGAGAAGGGAGACCCAATTACAGTTTAATTTGTGAAAGACAGAGATTTCCCAGCATGAAGGTGAGTCCCAGAGGGTCACTTCAGGTTAGCACCAAGCACTAGCAGACTGACCCGTGCCCAGGCTAATGGTCACTCCAGGGATCAGGGTTTACTTTAATGGCATCCCCAGAGTCATTATTCAGGTTTAAGCTCTGCACAGAAATCCTTATGGACTTCCCAGATCTCAGAGGGACAAGAATCAAGTTATCACAACCTTCTTTGCTAAGAAATAGCCACCCTCACTTAGATGAGACATTTACTTTAGGAGAACAATTAAACACGCAGACCTGTAGCCCTGAATGGAAGAACTCCTCTCCAAGTTAAGTAATTGTTTTGCATTTGTGTGTGGCATTGGTCTTGTGTCATGGGACTTAGTATCTATATTCTTTGTCCCATCAGTATTTAAAAAAATCTTTTGAAAACAAAATTTGGAAATGAGTCAGAGCCATTCATCAAGCCTCCTGTTTTAATAAGCCATGTCACAATGTTGATGGACATCCCTCTACCCTGATGTATTTTCTTTTTGTTAGATGTATGAACAAGTCCGTAAGAGTTTAGAAATGTGCAGCATTGAGAAGGACATTGAGTACTTCGTGAATCACCGAAAAACTGGACAGACTCCACCAGGTGACTAGAGCAGTGGGCCTGGGGGTTGATTTAAGCAATTCTTGTCACATGTCATTGAGAAAGGAAGACACCTGTCTCTTAATGTTTTGTTTCTTTATGATTTCTCTAGCTCCCATTCTGTATGAGAATTTTTACTGCCCCAAGAAGAGTGCAGCCCCACCCAGAAAGGCTACAGGGCCTAACTTGGCAAGGTAATGACCGGCTTCCTTTCATATGAAAAAAAATATTTTTAATAAACATTTTTTTTATCATTAGTGTCCTAAAACATTAGAATTGGATCATGTCTATCACTGCATTTACTTAGCAAGGTTGCTAGATTTTTGGAAAAAGCATTTTTAGGACAAATGTGAGATGAATTTTACTAGTCCTAGCTCAAGGAGGACAATATCATACTTGAGTGTGATTATTATTACTCATGCATGAATCCTATAACTTTCTTACAGCCTGTACAGAGCAGGAGTTAGTAAATTCAGCCCCCCCTCCCCCCTGAGTCAAATTTGACCTGCATGTTTTGGTAAGGCCTACAAGTTAAGAATAGCTTTTACATTTTTTAATGGTTGAAAAAAAAATGGAAAGGATACTATTTTGTGACATGTGAAAATTATATGAAATTCAAATTTCAGTGTTTATATATAAAGTTTTCTTGGAACATGACCACACTCGTCTGTTCACAGTCTGTGGCTGCTTTCACACTAGAGTAGGCTTGTGACAGAAATGGTACGTGGCCTGCAAAGCCTGAATCATTTACCCTCTGGCTCTTTACAGAAAAGTTTGCTGCCCCTGACATAAAGGATCCTGAGAGAAGAGAAACTTTTGTTTCATATACAGTCACCTTGACACAGTTCTTTTTTTTTTTTTTTTTCAATGAGGAACAGTATGTTTCTCCAGGACCCATCAGCTCCAAGTCAAGTAGTTGTTTCAATCTAGTTGTGGAGAATGCAGCTCAGTGGCCCATGTGGGAATCGAACCGGCAACTTTGGTGTTATGAGCACTGTGCCCTGCGCTCTACCCAATTGAGCTAACCGGCCATACCTGAAGCAGTTTTTTAAAAAAGATAATGGAGTGTTTGGGAGCAGAGATTGCATGATCCTCACCAATATTTAAGAATGCCAGGCACTGTTTAAAACAGTTCCCATGAATTAGCTCCTTTAATCCTCACAGTGAGGTAGGAGCTGCTTGTAGTTCCCATGTTACATGTAAAGATGCTGCCATACAAGGAGATGAAGAAACCATGCCCACACGGCTATGGTGTTCATTCTGCCAGTCTGGGTCGCGGGGTCAGGACCCTGTGCTGCTGACCACTGTGCCTTCTGCTCCTCAGTGTAACAGAATGTCTGCAACTTAGATTCCAGAGGGTCAGTGTTGCAGATTTTTTGCTTCATCTGAATTTTTTTTGACCCTCCTGCCCCCCACCCCCCAAAGCAGAAACCAGATCTGATTAGAGTGCAATATGCTTGGTGTATGAAGTAGAAACTTAGAAAACCCAGAACTTCTCTGAAAGACTTTGTTTTTCATTTCTTACAGGAGGGGACCTCTCCCAGCTCCTAAACGTTTACCAGGTATGCCACCAAGAAAGACCTTTGGAAATGCTTATGTCTGGTTTTCTTTAAGGTTGAGTAGCTAGAATTTTGAAATAAAGGGAAAGAAGGGAATTAATAGAATCAATTTCCCGAGAGAATAAGTCTATATTAGAATCTTATTATAATACTATGTGTCACAGAGTGGAGTTTGGTAATTGGTGGTCTATTTTATAGCTGATCCAAGAGAATTTAGTTACTGGAGTACCAAAACAAATTTCTTATAAGCCAGTGTTACTTATGAGATTACTTCAACTTGGACCATGAGAACAGCAGAACCGAGATATGGTTTCTTTTGGATTGCACAGAAATATAATTTATAGAAGGCATAGATGTCTAGAACCATGTAACTTAATGTTATATGTTTGTACATTGCCCATAATTGGGTCATTCACTAGTCACTGGTCTCTTTTTTCTCTGAGCTTCTATGATACCTCTGGGAGAACCACACATTTTAGCTTTTTTTTTTTTGTTAGTTATATTCCTTGGATAATTATGAGATTCTTGAGGGCAGGCACTTGGTTTTTTCCTGTATCATTCACAATTCCTGACACAGTACTAAGCACATAGTACTGTGCTCAGCAAATATCTATTATTGGAATAAAAGAAAGATATACCTATCTATGTTCAAGGGAATGAGGGAAGAGACAGCTAATGTTGCATTTAGCAGCTTAGCAACAATTTACTGACTGAAAAAAATTTAGTGGCTGAGCGGCTGAAATTATATCTTTGAACAATATAAGGATTTAAATTATTTTTTTTTCTTGTTGCCTAATAATTACCACTTGATAATGTGGGACTTATTTTTGTTCATTTTTGAAGATGACTTTACTGTGGGTGCTGCTCTCTGGGCAGGGATAAAAAAGGGCAAAGAAATCATAATAGCAATTTCCAGAATATTATCTGATTTATAGTTATGACTACCATTTTTGTAGGTTTTGATACCAGGCATAGTTCCTTCTTACAAAAGAGAAGTCACTAGAATCTCTGCATGGAATGCCTTGATTTTGAAAGGTCTAAGATCTTATCATGGAAGAATGTTGGCTTCAGGTTGCTCTGTGTTCTGCCCTTTGCAGATGATTCCGATTATTCTTTGGTTGATAACTACAGTTTGATCTTCCAGTAACATCAATGGTAAGAGCCTTCAATTTTCCTATTATCAAGTTGCATTTAGACTGGTGATTGTGTTTTTGAAGTCGTTGATGCTTCTTTATAACACCGCTGCCAGTAATGCCATGCATCAGGCTGGCACACTGGTGGATGTAGCGTTTGTGCAGGATGACTTCTCTGGATCCCACCCCTGAAAGGAGGCTGGAGACCAGTCCAGTGGTCTCCGTATTTGAATGAGGTTATTTTCCCTTCATTTATTATTCTACAAGTCTTTATCTCACTCTTGTTAAGTTCTTTCATGGCTATTACACATCTACACTTAAGGCAATGCTCACACATGAAACACACCCGATCCTCACTCCTTCATTCCCAAAAGAGGAAAAGTGAAGTAAGAGGAAGTCAATAAAATAAGGCAAACGATATTCTACAAAGGCATCACATGAGTCATCCTGCACTAGATTATTACTGCTCTGAGCTAGCAAACCGCAAGGATTCCTAGAGCAGAACTACTAAATCAACCGTAGCTGCAAAGACGTCTCTTACTCTTTGGCATTCCAGTGCTTGCAACATGCCCCAAGTCAATGTCAGTCTTCACAAACAGCAAAAAATAAGTGAAACGCCTCATAAAGTGCAATTCTTTTAACCCAAGTAGGCATATCTTGGGGTATGATGGTATATGCATATATGAGCAAAGGAAAGGTCTGAAAAGATATAATCCCAAGCAGGTAATGGTTTTCTTTTTGTATGCCCATGTGTTCTAATTTGTCTGCAATAAACATTTATTCTTTAATTAAAAACTTCATAAAGAGTTGATCCTCTTGCATATTCCTGACCTTAGTGTTTTCCTGGGAGTGATAGGAGAGGTGGGTGGGACTCAGGAAGTCATAATGGAACTGGAATGGCCTCTCTCCTACCCTTCCTGGTTTGGTGTTTGCACATTTGCCATCACTTATGAAACAAAGCAGGTTTTAGCAGTGCTCTTCTAACCTTTCCTGAGGCTATGGTATTCATGTGCTTTATCCTTCAGTGTTCTATACGACCAAAAAGTGCTTAGAAGTGAGCCCATCAAACATTGCTTGTCTTCCGCCCTATAAAAACACCTACTTTGTGACTTATAGCCAATTAGCTAACTAGGACAGGAGTCATATTGTCTTGATTAGATAGAAATAACCAGCTAGTATTATTTATATTTAAACGTAAGTCTTTAAATTGCTTAAGAAGTGAATTTACTATTTAAGGAACTTTGCTGTAAAAGACAATGGACATTGAAGACATAACATACCCCATCTTCTAACTACATATAACTTTCTGATGTGTATGTTAGTCTTTACAATCAGTCGCCATTTCTTCTTCATGTCATAAGCCTCCATCTTTCTCGTGGAAAGAGACAAGGCCCATCTTAGAGGTAGAGCAGCAACCTTGGAATCAATGATTTGGGATTCAAAGGTGAAACCATTCTCTGGAACACCATGTAGATCATGGCGATGGCTAAAGCATTGGCAGCTCCAAGAGTTTCTTTTTATTTTTTATGTCTTTCTTTCTTGCTCTCACCAGTTTGCATAAAGCACATATTTGAGTGGCTCAATAAGTGCATTTGAACCAGCAACTTCAGTTTCTCAGAGCCCAGAAATCTGCTGTTTGAATGCAAGACGCTAATACTAACCCATTTAGTCAAGTTATATTATTTCATTGGTGTTCGTTAGTGTCTGCACCAGCTCAACAAATAGGAATTCAACATAAATGTGCTTAACTGACTGAATTTAAGAGAATTTAAAGAAGGGAGTCTGCCTTCGTAGCTTAGTGAAGCAGCTTGTTACAACATTTAAAATAGTTTAATGAACCTTTGGAATTGAAATTTAAATAGGAAGGTTTAGGAATTTGTGATTTGTTCTGCAGTTGCTGGATTTAGCCACTGTTTCTGTTTTTAATTCTAACATACTTAGGTAAAGACAGATTACAACTTTTGAATTTAAAAATATGTGTATCAAAAAATATAAATACATGTATTATTTACCATAAAGCAATGCTATTATCATTATATTTCATTTTCCATCACTTAGAATACCCATTTCTCTCCCTCTGTTTTCCTTAGCCAAGCACACTTATCCTCATTGAATAAAATCTCCATGTTTGAGCTGGCTGCTGACATGAATGATTAATTCAAATGAAATTTCTTTGTTATTTTCTTTCAGAAAATGAATCGTTTTCTGGCTGGTGCTTCGATGGCATGGAAAGAGGCACCTAGAAGAGCAGAATCTGTAGAAATTATGTGATTCATGAAGACTTTCAAGTGAACGCTTGCTGTCATTTTTTGATATTTTAAATTTATGGTAGACATTTAGTTTAACTTAAGCTAGTTGAGTTCTGCAGTTTCTGAAACAAGTTTACAAATTGCCCCAGACTGAAGAATGATTCTTTCCTAATCAGTTACTAAAGTTGTGAATGAACTGTGCTTTCTACTTGATCCACGACAGTCTCTGGATTTGGAGCCTTGACTCTTGGGATGGGGGGGGGGCAGGGATGGCTGCAAGGGAGCCATCAACCCACATAAAAAGCTCCTTTGGCTTTGGGGCGGCGTGCTATGGAATTTCCACAGCGACACACGCTCTCAGTGGCACAAGATTTAAAATTACCTGCCTTTTTGGCTGGAATACTTCGAGGCCATCTGAACGTACTTCCTCATTTTACAGATGAGGAAATGAGGCCTAGAGGTGTGAGATCCATTTCCTGACTGTTGTCCCAGCTGATTGGGTCCAGAACCAGAACTAGAGTGCGGGCTTATTCAACACCACAGTGCTTCTAACCTTTCCTCAGGCCGTGATGCTCATGTTGAAGTTTCAGATGCCCAATGTTTTTGCTGGCATCTACTCAATTGGGAAAATTACCAGGGTTTAAATGTCAGATTTATTTTTATATGGCTCACTCTGTGTACTGAACTACTGAGCACCACATTTAACTTAATCTAAGCAGCATTGATTGTAAAATACGCCATTATTTGCTATGCCACTAGGAAAGTTGGGTGGGGGAGAGTTGACAATTAACTTGTGACGTTAATGGCCATACCCATTTAAATTTGAGATGCTAAAATGTGCCAAAAAAAAAAAAGAGTACATCCTAGGATCAATGAGCTATGGTATTTTGACTCTATTCCTGAAGAGAAATTTAGAGTTACAAAGCCCGCTCTCAGTCCTGGGTCTCAGAGAATCTTACCCTTGCTAGATCCTGGAATCTTTAAAGTGTTGATCTTGCCCTTTCATAAAAATTGGGGTCTTCCTTTTGTCACCCACAAAGAGCAGGGAGATTATGTACATTTTGTACAACAATGGCACGCTGTGAGAGAACGGTTCATTTTAGTTAATGGTAAGTGAAAATAGCACTGTCACAAAATAAAATAAAATAATAAAATATGTGTAAAATAAAATAGCACTGGCATTTATGTTGTAAAATTTGTTACCACAAAGAGCAGATATTTTCCTCTTTTGCTCTATGCATTAACTTTCCCAGAACTATGGACGAATTGATTGAACGAATATGTCCCTTCTTTTATTGTAAGGCACTACTGAAAGTGGCAGCTTCTTGTCATGACAGGAAAATTGCGTCAGTTGGATATCCTTTTGAGAAACTGAAGTTTGCAAAGGGCCATTGACTTCCCCAAACTGAACAGGCTCAGGAAATTTCCCTTCAAACTCAGAACATTCTATTTTTAAGTACTTTATTTATTGTCAGCAATTCCTCAGGGATGTCACTTTTCTCTCTGTTAGTGTGATTGATGTAAAAGTGTTTCATGAATTGAAAATATTTTTATTTTATTGCTCTTTCAGTTTGATATGAAATAAAGGTTCTTGGTGATTTGGGATTTATTTTGCATTTTTGTACGAACCATGTCTCTCTCCGAAATGCTATTTGACCCCTTGCCACATTTGCTTTGGTTAGACTACAGAAGGACAAACTGCTGGTGAGGGAGGCAAAGCAGAGACTGGTGCCATGCCACCCCCTTCTGGTGCCAGCCTGCAAAGTCAATTCCTCAAGGACACACCTTCCCTGCCTCCAGACTAGGTTGGATCTCACCGCTATATCCTTCTCCCCCTCCCACATTTTCCTTGTTATTACATGATGCACTCTTGAAATTAGTTGTTCAAGGTCTGACTTCTGCCCTAGACTGTAACCTTCATGAGAGCAAGGCCCTTCTCTATCTTTTTTCCTGGTATATCCCTATCACCTGGCACATAGTAGTAAATATGAAAGAATTAGTAGCCTAGAAGAGAATGCAGTTAGAGACAGAACCAGATGAGACAGAAATAAGGAGTGTAAAGGGAGCAAAGCCAGTCAAATAAGTATCCATGTTAAATTTAGCCTACTCTGTAGGCTGTTGGTATCTTTTTTTTTTTTTTTTAGCTGAGCTATCCTGTCACCTGTTGGCAGCTCAGCTCAGGCCAGGCATTGAACTGCTCTTGCTCAGAGCTCAAACTCTTGAGTGAGCTCTTAACTAACTGAGCCACTCGGCCAGCCCATAGACTGTTGGTATCTTAATTTGGGTTCCACCATAAGCAGACCCTGAGATAAGGATTTGAGCGCAGGCATCTTTGCTGGGGGGTGATCCCAGAAAGCACCTATATGAAAGTGGGGAAGTAAGCTGGAGAAGGAAGGAAAACAAAAAAGCATGCATTATCAAGCAAGTTACCACAGTGGTCAGCTGGAGCCTAAGCCTTTTGGGGATTCTTGGGAGATAGTGTGGGACTCGCACCTTGGCGATAGCTCACCTGAGGGAAGGGGATGGGATAGTAATTCACCAACTCCTATCAGTCACTGGTAGAGGGCTGCTCCTAGGAGGCATTAACTTTGCATTTCTGGCCTGCTGTGAACACTGCCAGTAGCCTCAGAGGGTCCTCAGGCAGATGCAGTTCCTGACAGTTGGAAGTTGGGTTGGTGTGTAAAGGACATGATAGATACTAAGGGGATTTGGATGGGACACTGACTGTGCTGACACCTGCATGGCTCTGATCCACCTGTGTCCACATGAATTTTACTCCATCCTGTCACTACTTCAAGTCCCACTTTCCAACACACACACACACACACACACACACACACACACACACACACACACACACACACCAGGAAGTTTAGTAGGACAAGCTATAGTCCCTTTTGCTACAGATGGTTTTGAGTTCATAATTGATATTCATTATCTCCTTCCTCCACCACCCCATTATGGAGTGAATTGTGTACCCCCTAATTCGTATGTTGAAGTCCCAATCCTCAGCACCTCAAAATGGAACTGTTTTTGGAGATAGGGCCTTTAAAGAGGTAATAAACTTGAAATAAGGCTATTGAGGTGGGGCCCTAATCCAGTTTGACTGGTGTCCTTATAGGAAAAGGAAGAGACACTAGGGATGAGTGTGCACAAAGGGACAACCATGTGAAGAGGCATCAAGAGGGTGACCATCTGCAAGCCACAGAGAGAGGCCTCAGAGGAAACACCCTGCCAGCACCTTGAGCTTAGACTTTTAGTCTCCAGACTATGAAAAAATTAATTTTAATTCTTTAAGCCACCCAGTCTGTGGTATTTTGTGACAGCAGCCCTAGCAAGCTAATACACCCATATTCTAGATTCCCTTCACAGTTGGCTAGACTTCTGCTTGTGTAGGTTGCTTGACTGGTAGAGTAACCCAGACCCTCATCCCTAAGGGGTCTTAACCCCTGGTTATCAAGTCCTTGTAAGACCCTGTTTGCTGAAATTGCCCATTTACATTTATCACCAGGCATGGCAACACCAAGAGGCACCCCAGTGAAACTCAGTCCCAGATAGTCCTTGCTGACCCCTTTCCTCATGGTGATCACCTACTCCTGCTGAGATAGTTACTCCTCTCTTTGCTTGCTGGGCTACTGGTGTGAGGAGGCTGATGCCAAATGACCAGGCATCAGGCATAGAATTAGTGGAATCCCTTCTATGTCCTCTGGTAGATGTATCCCCTGCCAACCACCTGGAATCAGGGGCTCTAGTCCAGCAGTGCCTAACATTAAAAGGATGGGGACACAAATTTCCCAAGTGGGTCAATGTGAGCTCTGGTGACAGAGGCCACTCTTATCCCTTGGCTTCCAGACTTGTATTTTTGGTGTTGTTTGTTTGTTTGTTTGTTTGTTTGTTTTTGACCTATTGGAGTCAGAACATACAGTACCATGTTGTGGCCATATGTGTACCATATACTTCATCTTTCAGACGAGTTCTCCAACTGTGAAAGGAATTCTCAAATTGCTGCACCTTTAAGAGGCCACTGCAATATTCTATTAGGGCTGCAGCTTGTACGTGCTGTGGTATAGGGTAGACAAAGTGGAGCCCATGGACATTTGTGTATTGTTGTATCACCTTCACTGTAAAGTGAAGCTCTTGGTATAAGGCATGAGTTCTCAACAAGGACAGTATTGCTCTAAAGGGGGTGAAAATTGATTTTTTGGTTGGCAAAACATCTTACTCTTTTTATATATAAAGCACAGATATACAGTGCATAAACAGATACAGTGGTATTAGAATTTCATGGGTGTGGCAATTAGAAAAAAAATGTCTAAAAAGGCTCATTGGGGGTTAATATCCAAAATTTATAAAGAACTTATACAACTAAACACCAAACAACCCAATTAAAAAATGAGCAGAGGACCTGAATAGACATTTCTCTGAAGAGGACATACAGATGGCCAATAGACATGAAAAGATGCTCAACATCACTACCATCAGAGAAATGCAAATTAAAACCACAATGAGATACCACTTCACACTTGTCAAAATGACTATCATCAGTAAATCAACAAACAAGTGTTGGCAAGGATGTGGAGAAAAGGGAACCCTTGTTCCCTATTGGTGGGATTGCAAATTGGTGCAGCCACTATGGAAAACAGTATGGAGGTTCCTCAAAACATTAAAAATAGAATTACCTATGACCCAGCAATTTTACTTCTGGGTATTTATCAAAAGAAATCCAAAACACTAATTTGAAAGATATATGCATTCATGTATTCATTGCAACATTATGTACAACAGCCAAGATATGGTAGCAATCTAAGTGCCCCTTAATAGATCACTGGATAAGGGAGAGGTGGTACATATATACAATGGAATATTACTCAGCCATAAAAAGGAATGAAATCTTACCATTTGTGACAGCATGGGTGGACCTACAGGGTATTATGCTAAGTGAAATAAGTCAGAGACAGACAAATTCTATATGATTTCACTTATATGTAGAATCTAAAGAACAAAATAAATGAACAAACAAAACAGACGCATGGATACAGAGAACAGAGGGTTGCCAGATGGGAGAGGGGTTGGGAGGCAGGGTGAAAAAGGTGAAGGAATTAAGAAGTACAGATTGGTAATTACAAAATAATCACAAGGATGTAAAGTACAACATAGGGAATATAGTCAATAATATCGTAATAACTACGTATAGTGCCAGGTGGGTACTAGACTAATCAAGGATCGCTTTGTAAATTATATAAATGTCTCTAACCACTATGCTGTACACCTGTACACCTGAAACTAATATAAAATAATATTGAATGTCAACTGTAATTGAAATAAATAAATAAATAAATAAATAAATAAATAAATAAATAAATAAATAAATACAAGGCTCCTTAGGGGAGTGGTAATGAAAAACAATTCGATAAACACTGATCTAAGGTAATGCTATGTGAATTTTCGTAATGTTACATCCAACACTCTATTAGCCTTTGGATAGTGTTACTGGTCAAGGTCCTGCTGGCAGAAAAAGAAAATCTATTCTGGAGTCACTAGAAATGAATCTCTCTGCCCCTTCCAGAGTGGAAGGAATTCGATGGAATCAATTTGCTACCAAATGGCTGGTGGGTCTCCTTGAAGGATAGTAGCATATGTATTTAGGGCTCAGCTTCAGCCCTTTGGGCAAATTGGTCAGACATTTAGCAGTAGCCACTAGATCAGGCCTGGTGAGTGGGGGCCCCTGTAGAGTTTCTTTCATCCCTGCCACCACAGCTACTCTGTTCATGAGCCCGCTGAGGATCACGCGCTGGGGTGGCCAAGGACAGAGGCTGGCTGGATCCCATTGGATGAGTCATCCTAGCCACCTGGTTGTCCCGCCCCTCCTTTGATGGATACTGTCTGTGGGCACCGATATAAAATGTTAAGATTTGCACATTTGTTGCCTGTTCATTTGCTATTCCTTGAGCTGAGCTACTGCCCGAGTGGCTCAGGGGATAGAGATTGTGCTCTTAACAACAAGGCTGCTGGTTCGACTCCCACATGGGATGGTGGCTACACTACGCCCACCCGCAACTAATTGAACACAGCACCTTGAGCTGAGAGACAGTGACTGTACTTGGAGCTGAGCTTGCTGTGCCCTCCACAACTAAGATTGAAAGACAACAAGTTGACTGTTCCCCTCCCCTAATTCCCCCAAAAAATCTTTAAAAAAAAGTCTATTAACAGAAGAGACCCCGTCTATACAAGAGCCTTTAAAAATGTAGGCTGGATATTTTTGGTAAATAATTACTTGCACAGCCAGCTAATTGTCTCAGGAAACTGAAATAATTTAGAAGTAACATGATATTTGTATAATTTAAAAATGCATTTGGTAATTATGAATAATGAAACAATGACTCATACAGAATGATTTACAGGAAGCAATGAATGGTAGAATGAATGACCTTAGAAATCATGTCAGAGGAGGTTTCACCAATGGTGAGTTGCCACCAGATGGCAACAGAGATTCTGGAATCTATTTTTATTAGTAAGTTTAAGAAAGGTCCACCCAGAGCTCCTTCCTGAATTCAGCAGCTTTCACTGAACCTCTGTTATGACAAGCACGGTTCCAGATGCTGGCTGACTTAGGAATCATGATCATATTACATTTTGGAAAGCCATAATGTAATGTGAATTATACTCCTATCATGAAAGCCTGGTTCTTGTTTTTAATTGATTGGGATTTTTTCTGAGATTAAAAATTATTTTAAATTCTTATAGCTGCAGTGAAAAGCAATATAACCCATTGGAGGAAAATTTGGTAAATATTTACTAAAATTAAAAATGAGAATGTCTCGGGGTCAGCTGGGTGGCACAGTTGGTTAAGAGCACGAGTTCTGAGCAACTGGGTCGCGGATTCAATTCCTACATGGGCCAGTGAGCTGCGCCCCAGCTGAGTTGCCAACTGGCGGCCGGATGGCTCAGCTGGTGAGAGTGCATGCGCCTAACACCAAGGTTTCCGGTTTGACTCCCACATGGGATGGTGGGCTATGCCCCCCGCAGCTAAGATTGAACACAGCACCTTGAGCTTAGTGCCCGAGTGGCCAGATGGCTCAGTTGGTTAGAGCACATGCTCTTAACAACAAGGTTGCCGGTTCGACTCCCACATGGGATGGTGGGCTGCGCCCTCTGCAACTAGGTTGAAAACAGCAACTGGACTTGGATCTGACCTGCGCCCTCCACAATTAAGATTGAAGGGCAACAACTTGACTTGGAGCTCATGGGTCCTGGAAAAATACAATGTTCCCTTCCCCAATTTCCCAACAAAAACTTTAAAAAAAAGAAAATGAGAATGCCTCTCTGATTAGCAATTTCACATCTAGACATCTTTCTTATAGAAGTACACATGCACACATATATAAAAGTATGGTCACTTGTGAGCATTGTTTTTATTAATGGAAAAGCTGGAAATAACTTAATGGTCATTAGAAGTTTGTTTAAATAAAACTAGGGAATATTTAATTAATTAAGTTCAAAATGCAGTAGAGCTATCTATCTGTCCTTATAAGGAAATAACTCCAAGATTTATGAATTAAAAGGCCACAGGTAATACCATACATAGACACTGAGTATTTCAGAGTGTGGTATTTGTACATGGGTAGAAAAAAATCTGAAAGGATAGACGCTACACTGTTAATAATGGTTAACTCTAGGTAGAGGCATGTTAACTTTTTATAATAGGTACTTCTATATTGTTTGCAGACACATTTAAGAATATTGTAATTTATAGAAATTTTTGAAGGAAAAAAATGGACCTAATATCCAATAGTCAACATTGTGACTATTATGAATAATCCAGTATCTTCTAAATAAAATATTTCTGATGTATTCATCTTGGCCCTAGTGTTTAAACACGGAGTATCGTAAACATGGAGAGACTAGGCCTGGCTTCCTGTCTTAAAAGTCCATTTATACAACAACTGCATTTGTTCAAATCCCAGTTCAGCCCTAGCTGTGTGACCTTAGGCAAATAATTCTTTGTCCAAACCTATAAAATGAGAACAATAAAATTATTGACTTCATAGGGTTGTTATAAGAACTAAATGAGTTATTATGTGAAAAGTACTTAGAACAGTTTCTGGCTGACAGTAAAAGCTCAGAAATGGTGATTATTACTACCCAGAGATCAGTGCTAGCAAACTCCTCACTGCTAATTCGATCAATAATTAACCCTGCTTGCTGTCAATGTGAATTTTTTTAGTTACTGCAGAAAGCATTTATATATATATTGTAGAAAAGACATTTGCCATTGTTTGGTTAAATTATCTTTTAAGTTAATTATTTAAAAATTAATCTTCAATTTATTCAAGTCATACATTTTATTTTTTATTTATTTATTTTTAAGATTTTTATTGGGGAATTGGGGGGATGGGAACAGTGCTGGGGAATTCGGGGAAGGGGAACACACAGTTGCTGTTGTTTTGTTCTTCAGTCTAGTTGTGGAGGACGTTGCTTCACTGGCCCAAGTTGGCACCATCATTGCGCTCTTC